GCTCATATGGTTAGGAGCCGACCTCAGTGGCGTTCGTGCTTTGAGTTTCTTTGTCCCACCCCATCCCTCTTAACCTTCCACTCCAAGCACGATCTCACGAGATAATCTTATATGATTTTGCATAGTAATTGTTTTTGCTATTTGGTTGCCGGTTGGTAGCTTTCTTGAACCTTGCCCATCATTTATCGGTGGCTCAGCTGGCTTGCATCTTTTTATGTATTGCGACACAGTAGCTGAGGTGTTTTACACCTCTAGCTAACGTGTATAATGATGATGGTGATACGTTTGGTCTTCATTGACTTGATTTCTCGTTGCCAAGTCAACTTTTAACCACCTCAAGCCTTGCTCCACCCCACATCCAGCAGACAAGACAAGGTCCTCCTCGGTAAGCGGTGACCGGGCACACATGGTACGTACCCAAACTAGCTCTACTTATTCAGTACTACTTGTCATTATAGGGAACGAGCCCGGTGATTACCACCCAGCATTCGCTTTTGCACATCATCGTTCCGGACATGTTGGTGCCATCCGACGCCAACAATGCTTTGGAAGCAAAGATCATCAAAGAAACTAATATTGCGCATGTCGTCAGATCGGAAAGGTCAAGTTTCACTTCCATAAAATTGGACGGTCCTCAAGGTGATCTCGTAAACGCGGCTTTTCAGATCGATGAAAATCCTTTCTGATGTCACAGATGTCACAAATCCAAGAAGACAGTTCTAGGTTTTGTTATACGGGATTGGATCTCAGTGTTTATGCAACTTCTAAGTATTTTGATCAACTACTCTGCATTTTTGAGCATCAAAAGTTAATGGACCATCAAGTGGCCTGTGGTGCTTCAGCCGCACCTTGTACTTTGTAGGTTCGAAGCGCATGCCACATGAGGGACCACTCTAGTGAGGTCATTCAGGGTTGACTAGGCCATCCCAACACCGTCAAAAATCAAGTCAACTTATTTTGCATAATCATGTTTTTCACCAGGTAGCACCTCACCGCCTGCGTCGTGATGTTCGGCACGTAAAATATTCACACGCTGTATGTGAATATGTTTCCTCACAAGTACTTCGAACGGAAGCCATTGATTGACTGAATCGAACGTACCAGTGAAGTCTAGGAACACAGCTATTGTCGGTCTGTGTTACGCGTGGCGCCCTTCTAGCACATGTCGCAAAGTAAATATATGGTCCACACAGCTCCATTCTTGGCGGAAACCTGATTTCTCTTCCCTAATCTGAGACTCCAATTCCGCGATGAGGTCACAAATGAGAATTGAAGCTGGCCGGTCTTAGGCCATTATCCATGTAGGTATCACTGTTCCTCCGACTGCTCTTCTTGGATATTGCCCCTATAATCGATTCAGTCCAGTTAGCCGAAAGGATTTCCTCCTTCCAGAAATATTCGAACTTGGAGGTCAGTGCTTTGCAGAGAAGCTCACCACCATTCTTAAATAGTATGGATGTGAGAATCCAGGCCAACTGCACGAAAGCGATTGTGTGCTGCGATCGGATTTCGGACCTCAGCCTCTGATGGCCCCTCTAAACTAAGCGTCCATGGCTTAGCCTTCACCACCTGATTAGGAGGGGTCAAGGGAGAAGTAAGCTAAATGAAATGCTCTCGAAAGTGCTCCAGCCAACGAGCCATACGCTGTTCTTCATGGTTAATCAGGACACCCACGCTGTCTCAGTTTCTTACTGACATCTGATTTCCTGGGATCAGTAGTGCGATGATTGTCTGCTCCATCTCTCGGGCCCTACTCGTCCATCAGGCCTTCTTGTTAACATGCAGGCTCCGCTTTGTTTCCTGACTAATAATCTGTCAAGTCCCATTGTGCTAAGAGCCATGAGGAAGTTTTCTTCTGGATTCCAACAGATTCATAGACCTCTTGGATATCTGGTGACTGGTGTGGTGACGATTGAGAGTGCCGCAAGCAATGGCTCCTGCGTCATGCTTGACGGCCAAGATTTTATTCCATTGAACAGCAGTGCCATTAGGACGAGAGAGCGAGAGTTCGGTAGGCAAGGCATCCTGGTAGGCTTGCTTGATCGAGAGCTGGGTTAACTACTCGGTTGCCAATCGAGGGACACGGTTAGAACGTTGCTCGTTAGATTCCATGGAAAAGCGGCAGTGAATCAAAGTATGACTTATTAGAGTACGAGTGACAATCAACGGTGGAACCACACCACCTTTAACTTATAACCGGGTTATCTATCTGGGTTCATGTAAGAGTTCGCGGCGTCATCTCTGACCCAATCGACGTTAAGTGCGGAGTGCCCCAGGGCTCCGTACTTGGTCCACGACTATTCCTGATTTACATAAACGATCTCGCGACAGTAATCACCTCCAACTCCTTACTCTTCGCTGATGATCTCAAGATATGGCGAGCCATTAGAACAACCAGCGACGATGCAGCACTTCAGGATGATCTGGACAGGGTCTACGAATGGTCGACGCAGAACCTGCTTCAGTTCAATGCTACAAAGTGCAAGGTGTTGAGCATACG